GAAGTTATATTTCGTACCTGTAAGCAAAGGCGTGCCAAGAAAGCTCGTTCGTAGGAGAAGTCATCATGTGGAACGTTTCTCTTCCGACTCGGACAAAATCTAATCCTATCCTCCCAAGAGCACAAGTTGACGCATTTCCTGTCATTCTTCTCAAAAGATGTTGTTCCCATACACCCGAAGAGCCCAAGTTATTGTGCGCTGTCACACGAGAGGGCTCCATATTTTTAAAAAGAAGGGTCACCAATTGAGGAAAGAGGTGGCGCGAGGTTCCTAATATGTGTACTTTCCCAGCAAACGGGTGCCAACATTTGCTGGTTTGCTTATTCCCAAATAAACTTTCCAAGGGAAGGCACAGAGGCATAACGCGAGTGGCAGCTGCTTTGCTCGGTTCCCGTCTTTTCCGATTACAAAGAGCTCCTGTACTTTCAAAGGCCAAGCAAAGGCACGAAACGTTATGGGCCTTGACCAGGCAATTCGGATTAACTATTCATTTTGTTCGTTTGTGGTTCACGATGGCCGAAGCTTATGGTTTGACCTTACTTGACGTAACAGCAAGAAGGCTGGGGATCTCCCTGTCCTGTCCTCTCAGGTTTTCAAATGTGCTGGCCTGACTGGTGGTGTGGTCTCCGCCTTGTGGCCTATAAGCCGTTCATACCCAGGCTGAAAGTGTGTGGGAAGGTACTTGCTCGTGGGAACAGTCAGGCGTCTATCTTCCGCCACGTAATTGCGCTCTTGTTCATACCCGCGCACAGTGAAGTGGTCGGGCCTGGCAATCAAAAGAAGGTGGTTTATTGGCTCCGGTGAGTTTGTAACTCCCACCGCACTGTCAGCTTAGGGTTGAACGAAGTATGATATCGTCGTGATGACGTGACGCCGTTAATCTGTCTTGCCTGGAGTTCGTGAAGCTTGGACTTTCTGCGATGTCCTTACACGAAGTCTTTTATCCTTCGCCTTTACAGCCCGCCTTTGCCCGTATCTTCAGTTCATTGATCGAGGCTTTGCGCTCAGATGGCCGTCGTTTATCTGCTCTTGTGTTTCTTTCACGTGATTTCACCATGAAACATATTTGTTTTTGTCTTAAAGCTTGCTTCCGATCATTTCTATTTTGGGACAAACGTATTTTCAAGTGTAATAGGTAATTTTCTTAAAACTACTGCTTGAAAAAATTAATTACATTACTAAGTTACCAGCACTGAAGATATTTCACTATAATCTTTAATACCGCAAAAATAATTTAATTATTGTAAATTTGTTACATCAATGTCATTACTGCTACCTCTTCTCTCGAGAATATAGGGATGCACAACTAAACATTATCCCCACTCTAAAACAAAGTTTACTTGAAGCCTCGGTGGCCACATCTAACTGGAAATGCGACAACTGTCGTTTACAGTCAATATATGTCTAGATTCATCAAAAATTGTGTTGATGCATTTGTTTTGTTTGTTTTTACAAATTTGAGACCTTTATTTATTATCGAAAGTATCGACAGACTTCACAGATTGTCAAATATCTAAAACAACACAAAAACGTAAGTTTTCCAGGCCTTAGATATCTCACTGCTTGATGTTTTCAGTTGGCCCGAGATTGATCAGCCCTAAAGTGTGTCGCCATAAAAAATAAGAACTGAATACTTGCCTTAAACATAAATAAAATGTCATTTATACGTAGTGTTGACATTCAAAAATACAAATACAGAACGTATAGAAAAAAATTATCAGTACTGCCTAGCAACCTAAATTTATAAATCCACTTTCGACGATCACGCCCTCACTGCGGTGATGCACCACATCAACTCAGGTATACCAGTGCGTAGCATTTGTTGAATTTGCCCAATACAGTGTTACGTTGTCACGCATGAGCGCAGCAGGAACGCGCGATTGTTGATAGCCGCCGCGCCAAAAGTGATATCTTCGGCATCGCACTTTTTCTTTCATTTGTTCTTGGCAGCAGCCGATAAAAGTCGGTCGCGCCGCCGCCGGTATTGTTCTTCGGTTTTCGTCTGTCGGCAAGCTTGCCTGGATTAAAAAGTCCGTCTGCGCTGCTCCCGGTGTCGTCTTCTCGCAGTGGCCTGGAGTCCTGCTCGGCCAAACGCAACAGCTGGTGGCAGCGGTGGGATGGGGGAACTACGGGACCGCTACGGCAGCGGTCGGTGAGGCTTTGGCTCTTGCTTTTTCTGGTACGTCGAGTGTTGTAATTTTCGTGGTGAAGCGAAAATAGGAAAGGCGACAGAAACGGAATTTTTACATTGTACCTGGCAGAAATAAATTTGGATAGCCTCCTTAAAGTAGAGTTGTTAGCCGTAGCTGAAGAGCTTGGTTTGGATGTAAGCAAGGCAATGCGAAAGCCGGACATAGTCAAAAAATTTTGGGCTGCGGAGCCGGGCATGACGAAATTGCCGAAGCTGTCGATGAGACAAAGAAATGACGCCAAGAGAAAGAAAGAGACGAACAACCGAAACAACTGCAACACGAGCAGCTAAAGCTGACTTCGGAAATGACCGTTCTTGGAGTCGCGAAAGCAGTTAACTATGACATGAGAAGTTTTCTTCATCCCTTTTCTTTTGGAAGCGAATTGGGATTCTTCTTAACCAACTTCGAGCGAACATCTGTCAGGATGGGTTTCGAAGAGTCGTCTTGGCCTCAGAGGCTTCTAAGCGTGTTGCCGGCCGAAGCAGCTGATGTACTGGCAAGGTTACTACCAGAAGAGGCCGAAAATTGCACGGTAGTGAAGGCTGCTTTGTTGAGAAAATATAAGTTATCACCCGAAGCTTTCCGTTTGAAATTTCGAGAATCCACGAAAGGCCCACAAGAGAGCTACTCAGAGTTCGCATACAAGTTACCTAGTTTTCTGGAAAACTGTCTCAAAGGAGCTCAGGCGTATGAGGACAAAGCGAAGATGTTTGAGCAATTTTGCTTAGAGCAGTTCTATCGTACGTTGCCTGAAAAGCTCAGAGAATGGGTTCAGGATCGACCGGACGTAGGAACAGTGCGCAAGGCAGCAGAATATCCAGATGAGTACTGTGCAAAGAGGGGATCAAGTTGCGACCTAGGAAAGACTGACCGGCCTCCGGGGGCGTCGTCTGGGGGAACTAAAGGATTCCGCACGTCGGAAAAGAACGCGAACAAGCCAGTTCCTAAAGACGAGTCCCCCGAAACACGCCTGAAAAAGTCATTCGTATGCTTCCAGTGCCAAAAGCCAGGGCACATGGCTGCTGGATGTCGGGTCCCAAAGGTCTCCCCAGTGCAGCTCGTTCTCGAGAAGGACGAAGACTTGTTAGGTCCATACCTTTACCAGATGGACGTAAACGTTAAGACTTGCAAGGTCTTACGGGACACCGGTGCGACGTACGACGTCGTGCACTCTTCTTTCGTGAACGAGAACGACTTCACAGGCGACTTCGTGTGCCTGAGGCAGGCCCTGGAAGGAGGTACTGTCAGCCTACCTGTTGCGAAAGTCATCCTGAAAGGCACCTTTGGAGAAGTGGAAACCGAGGCAGCAGTCTCGGACAACGTCCTGCCGAGATGCTCGTACCTCCTGTCCAACAGAACCGCAAAGGAACTGCTTAAGTCAGGGGTAACGCTTGACATGAACCCGGTCATGGTTGTCACAAGATCAATGGCAAAGAAAACCTGCGAAGGAAGTGTAGAGCAGGCTGTAGCTTCACAAACCAGTGAAGCCGATGACGCGCACCATCCCGTCGAAAGTGACGAGCGTCGCGCTTCAGATGAGCCAGACCGTGACGAGGAAAAAGTGGACGATGAATTGACGTTCATCCCTCTAACGAGCAGTGATTTTAAGGCGCTCGCTGCAATAGATAGGGCAACCTTGATTGCAGAGCAGAAGAGTGACTCCGGCATTGATAAAATGTTGGGAGAGCATTCAAAACCCTAATTCCAGCAGCTCAAGGTTCTTTGAAAAGAACGGAATACTTTACCGCGAGTTTCGTGGAAAGAAAGGGGTGAACGTCGACCAAATCGCCGTTCCTCTGAAGTACCAAGAAAACCTTTTGGAATTGTCTCACCGGGCGGGTTGGTCGGGCCACCTGTATCAACAAGACCAAGGTAAGGCTCCTAAGCAAGTACTACTGACCAGGTTGTTTTAAAGATGTCGAACATTTCGTTCGGAGCTGTGACGTCTGTCAGCGGACGGGTCGACCTAATGAAAAACGCAAGGCATCCATGACGGCGGTCCCAATTATTAGCGAACCTGAGGAAGTTGCAGTTTGCCTTCCAGAGATCCCACGAGATTTAACCTTCACTCCAGAAAAGGTCCTGGTGACCGCGGTTCAGCCAGCCACCTTGAACGAATGTCGGAGTAAAGACTTGCTAACCTTAATAACAGAGTATCAGGAATTGTTTTCGAAAGTCCCAGGCCGAACTAGTTTAATGACTCATGATATAGAGTTGAATTCAAGTGACACCAAAAGGTGCAAAGCTTACCGGTACTGGCCTCGACAGGAAAAACTGGTGAAGGAAGCTGTTGAACAGATGCTGGCTCTTAAGCTAATTGAGCCAGGCGAGGGTGACTTTGTATCTCCGATGATAGTCGTGGAAGCTAACGGCAAGGAACCACGGCCTTGCGTTGACTACCGTAAGTTGAACGGAGTGACCGCCACGAGGGTTTTTCCTATTCCGCACGTTGAAGACTGCCTCGAAAAAGTGTGCCAGGCAAAGGTCATATCGACTCTAGAACTTGTTCGTGAATATTGGCAAGTACCGCTCACCAAGCGTGCAAGTAGTCTTGCCGCTTTCGTGACCCCTTTTGGCATTTTTCGGCCTTTGGTCCTTAGCTTTGGCCTTGAAAATGCTCCTTTCGCATTCTCTAGGTCAATGAACGAAGTCCTTGCTGGGTTGGAAAGTTTTGCTCTACCATATTTAGACGACACTGCATTTTTTTCTGACACCTAGTCCGAACACTTGGACCATCTAAGAGAAGGATTTTCGAGACATCGCCGGGCGGGACTAACTCTGAAAGCACAGAAGTGCAAGTTTGGTCGCTCAGAGGTAGATTACCTCAGACACACCGTAGGCAAAGGACACCGAATCCCGTTGGAAGTAAAGGTACTGGCGATTAAGGAGTTTCCACGTCTAGAAACGAAAATGCAGATTCGTACGTTTTTGGGCTTAATTGGGTATTACCAACACTACATCAAGGGGTTCTCCAAGATGGCTAGTCCGCTTACTGAGGCGTTGAAAGAGAACGCGCCTAATCACGTAAAGTGGGACAAAGAGAGGCAGGCATCTTTTGACGCCCTTAAAAAGACCTTGATGAGTACACCCGTCTTGGCAAGCCCGGACCACTTGAAACCTTTCCTTGTGCAGTGTGACGCCAGCGAAAAGGGGCTGGGGGTAGTTTTGAGTCAAGAAAGCGCAAACAGGGGAGAGCACCCGATTATGTACGTGAGCAGGAAGTTAAGCGCTCGAGAGCAGGCGTACAGCATAATTGAAAAAGAGTGCGCTTGTTTGGTGTGGGCGGTCGAAAAACTTTCATGTTACTTGTCGGGGTCGCCATTTGTCTTCATCACAGACCACCGACCGCTAACGTGGCTCCAACAGATGTCGAACTAAAATAGTAGATTGCTCCGTTGGAGTCTCAGTCTGCTACCGTACGTGTTCACTGTTAAGCACAAAAAAGGATCCCTGCACACTAATGCTGACAGCTTGAGCGGTGCTTTCTCTGTCTAGGCGAGGAATGGCATGGGGGAGAGGGCAAATAGTTTTTTGTGTTTTTTTAAACAATACAATTCTGCCAGTGTCGATAGGGGTTCCCTTTCTGGTCGCCATAGGTTCTTGTATGTAGCATTGCTCGATGTAAAGCACTTTGCGTACCAGAGGGCGGGCCTGCCTTCGCTTGGCCTCTGTTTGTGGAGTTTCTGGGTTCGCCTTCCCCTCCGTTGCCCAGGCATCTTGACGTGAGGCTCCGCACCTTCGGAAGCACGGACCAGCTCTCACAGGGACCAGACGCCTCTTCAGTGCGGTGTCATCGTCGACCCCTGGACACTGCCTCCACGTCACAACATACCTTTTCCTGCATCGTGCGCCGGCCGGAAACCCGATCCACGGACTCTACCGGGGATACGAGCCAAGGACTCGCAACCCCCCACCCCGTGTTCTTCCGTAGGGGAGACGTTGTTGCGTTGTCACGAATGAGCGCAGCAGGAACGCGCGATTGTTGATAGCCGCCGCGCCAAAAGTGATATTTTCGGCATCGCACTTTTTCTTTCATTTGTTCTTGGCAGCAGCCGATAAAAGTCGGTCGCGCCGCCGCCGGTATTGTTCTTCGGTTTTCGTCTGTCGGCAAGCTTGCCTGGATTAAAAAGTCCGTCTGCCCTGCTCCCGGTGTCGTCTTCTCTCCGTTGCCTGGAGTCCTACTCGGCCAAACGCAACAACAGCAAAATAAACAGTTGCGAGATCGTTAAATCAATGTATCTAAGCCCTCATCCTCTTAAAATGGCTCAATTACACCAGCTCCGAGGCAACTGATCCCACTAAAATAAAGTAGACAATGTCTGGAACTCAAATGTTCTTTACAAAATAAAATTATTTATTAACCATATAATGTTTCTATAGTCGGTGTGAGGATAATAACCCAATAGCTGCTCCCAGAACCAGCACAAACCCGTTGCCATTCACCGGGCTTTGGCTGCGCAGCATGCGAAGTGTCTTTTTTCTTCAACATCAATGCCACAAGCCCCATTACAAGATCGTCACGCATCTTGTGCCTTATGTCTGCCCATAGTGACCCTTACTACTTTTTAAGCCTTTTTGTTTTGCAAGCATCTGGTATGAACCTTCGGTCTCCCTGTAACCAGCAGTATATATCTAAGTTGCAAATAAAAATTATCAGTTTCCTATTTTCTCCTCACCAGAGTCTCGTGTTTTAAACATCACGATTAAAGAGGTATTATCAAAGGCAGAAAGCTAGCGCTCAAGGCGACGCAGATGCTTCGTTCTTAACGTTTTACCGACTATAGTGATCAATTAATAAGACGTTCGCAAGTTCTGCTCGTGGTTAGCTAAGTTTTATAGAGAAATATATTAGAGAATGCTTCACTACATATTATATTTTAGGATCAGGGCTTCGCAACTAAAGGACGGCGCGGGTCTAATGAAATGTTTTTTAAACTTTGCTAGCCGCGGCCTAACAAGAAACTCTGTAGCTCTTCATCGTCCTGAGTCTTTTACCCCAGTGAATCATCAGGGCTCGTCTCTGTTTTCTCGTCGCATTGCATAATCTCACGTCTACCGAAGACTACTATAAAATAGGTTTTTACTTTCGAAATGAATAGGTGGTAAATGCACTTGAAAGCAAATCGTTTTATCATTCGGATTAATCCGAAAGTTTTGGTGTTTTGGGCTTGACTGAAAGGGACGACTCAGGCATATCCAACTTGTTTCCTGAAATGAGACTCAGCTGGTTTTTGTGACGCCTTAAACTTCTACATGAAGTATAGAAAAACAGCGGAAAATTATTTTTGCCAATTTCTTGGCGCAAATGCTTTCCCATTTTGTGGGGATGCATTCGAGCACGCCATATTAACCTATTTTACGAATGTTCCGAACATGCATGTTGGGAAGCAGCTAGACAAGTCCAAATATTGCATAAATATGGAAAGTAGAACTTCGCAAAAATCTGATGTTTGCGTCAGCTCAAGTGAAAGCTTTGTGCTGCTTGACACAACGTAACCGCACTTTAAGCAGGTTCTTGTGCGTTATCGACGAAATCCCCCTTAAGCTATTTTTTTTAGGTAGGTAGTAAATGTGAGTGAACTAAGTAAAATAAGCGGATATCCTTCGGTATGGATTTAGTTTGCCTTTTACGGATATCGTGCTCTGTACGTTTTAGGATAGCGACGTAGATTTTAGGTGACCCCGTGAGCCACAAAAGAACTGTCAGCGAGCTGCATGGAGCCCGCAGGCCGCATGTTGTTTTGAGGTTATTACAAGTCTTACTTAAGTGCGACAAAATGTGTTTGCTGTTAGATTGATACTCATGATGTAATTTAATTTTTATAAACATATTCATGCTAATTTATGAAGCCTGAAACTATCATTTTGTTCAGCTGTCACTGTATACATTCTAGAATTGTTGTGTGCTTTCATGATTTCTTGAAAATTGTATGGTGTATGTTTGTCAGGTAAAAACCAACTATACTTCCGATTTTTCAGTCGCCAATGTGCTTACACCAAGGTTTATACGATGATGTAATTATAATTTGCACAAATGTGTTTAAATTATCCGCATTTACATTTAGGTGTATGAAACAAAACAATAAACATAAAGTAATGCTAATACTTTTAAAAAATTCTTCACTTCATGAAATTTAACGTAAAATTGCTTGTAGATTAGAATTTAAGTGCGCTAATGTTCGCTGTTAGAAACAAGTCAGCGTATAACTTACTTTCTTGTTTGCACAAGGGAACATAAGGGCCAACAAGAATATTCCCACAAAAGGACCACCGAAGACGTTCATTGTAATAATGAATACCTACAGGAAGAAGAAACTTGCATTAATACACCACAGGCCAATTATAGCATTACTATAAATACAACATTATTCATCAATCCTAAATATTTCTTACAGCTATTTATGTTGTTTTTGTTTTCTTCCAAATCATATTTTTTAAACAAAAGAAGCCTCCTTCTAGCCTGACTTTAGAAGTGCACGTGTGGTCAAAGTGTACTGAGATGGCAGCCATTCAAACTGGAATCTTGAAGGGGTCATTATAATCCCTACATCGCCCCTTGTCTCGAGCATTAAAGATTGAACATGTCAAACTGAGTAGCCTCCGACATTTGGGTCACTGAGATCTTAATGTACATAGGTTCTGGCTATCATGTGTGCGCTTCTTGCGATCGTGATTGGTTCGTTGGCGTTCCTGTTGGCTATATGCTGCAATCTCATTGGTTGCAGAGAAATATTAAGATGTATGAAAATTGTCACGCCGTGGGCTGCTTGAACTGTCAGTGAGTATAGCTTAATTGTAAATAAAATGAACGTTGAAGAGGAACCTACCCTTCGTCATTGGCCCATAGCAATACATAAAACATGCCCCGAGTCCGTATATTTTGAAAAAAGAAACTACTTAAGGTTATTTTAGCGTAAAGCAATATGCTTTCATTATCTCACGCATACTTTTAATGTACTGGGTGTTTTGTGAGGAATCCGAACGCGGTTTTTCGCACCGCAAAAATAAACTAGACAGTTGCGGAGAGCTCCAACTCCATCAAAACGTAACCCCAGCAGTTCGAGCAAGATGCCCAAGTTTCAGCACCAACCGTTATCTTATTCAAAAGTTATAAGCGATTTTCTGAAAATTTGAATAGAAAAATGGCGGCCGACAGAGCTAGCGAATACATGGAGCTCTATAGCGCCAGAAACTGAAAACAGGCGAAAATGGGCCCCATTTCCCAATTCAAAATTTTGAATAACCATTTATAACTTTTAAATAAGATAACCGTTGGTGCTGATACTTTGGCATCTTGCTGCAACGGCTGGGGCTTTGTTCCGATGTTGTGTGAGCTCTCCGCGATGTCTAGTTTATTTTTGCCGCGCAAAAATCCGGGTTTGGATTTCTCACAAACACCTGGTATTTTACGACACCTTCAGCTCGAGCGACGAGCTGTGTGCGTCGACCCAATGGCGCAACGAAGGTGTGCACACTGAACGTATATTTTGAACGTACTACAAGTCAACTTAGATATACTTCAATTTTATTTTCTGACAAGTTTCGTAAAAATGTAAAGTGGTATATTTTTAACCTATTTTGTCTTATTACGACATTAACTCTTTATGACTTGAAGTGACGGCGGTTTACATATTATTTTTGTGCGTTTGGCTATTGACGCATGTCAAATTAAGTTTTCATACCAAAGAATAACACTTGTGCTCGTATTTGTGCTTATGTTTTCTGTACGAGTTTCTTGGTTGTTCGCGCTGTACGTATGGGCTAATAATATATGGTCTCATAGTGTCGGACATAGGCTGTCCTTTTTTTGCCTTCCTGAGGCGGAGGCAAAAAGAACAAAGGCAACGTCCCCTCTTTTTTTTTTTTTTTTTTTTTTTGGGGGGGGGGGGGGGAGTGTC